TAGGCTGTGTCCCTGCTCTGGAGTGTCTACAGCTGAAAAGCTCCATCGCCATGGACACCAGCTCCCTGGCCCAGCATTCAAAGCCCTGCAGGCAGCTCTCAGCTTCACCCCTGAACATTGCCTCCCTCAGGCCCCACAGGAATCTACACCCTGGGATGTAGATTCCGGGGTGTAGATTCAGGACACCTCAGCCTGGAACAGGTGGCTCCCTCTGCTGGCCACACCCCAGACTGCATCCCTTAGGGGCCTCCTGATCCCACCGTCCCCTGGGGCGCCCGCAGGCAGCCCCTCCTCCAAGCTCCTTCCCACGTGGCCAGGCCCAGCTCCACAGCTGGCTGTCTTCCCAGGAGGAAAATCCATAACTGATGGCGGCAGCGAGGCCCTGGCCAGCTGGGGAGTTTGTGCACGCTAGTGGTACGAAAGAAAAAAGAAAACAGAGTTGGTTTGCCTAAGAGAGCACTCTAAAACGGGGCTGGGAGGTCACTGAGCAAGTGTGACTTATGCATGCCTCTGCCCACACGGAATCTGAACTTTGACCACTTCTTGTTTTAATGCAGCCATCCAGAACGTCTGCCCAGTGTTCCAGAAACTCAAAGATATTTATTGGATCCTTTACCCTAAAACAACTCGTGACAGTCTAGCCCTTGAGGACAAATATTTCCTTTAACAATCTTATGGCTATTGCCTTTACAAGCCCCTGACTTTCTCTTCCCTGGAACACTCTTTCAGTTCTGTCTAACGCTGTATCTCCCAAGGAGTCCACATCTACCTACCCTCCTTCCAAGACTGTAAGCACTAAAATGCATCAACTGTGGAGGGCTGTGCACACATGAGGGGTCATCCCTGCTGGTGTGTGGGGTACATGATGTGTGCAACCTTGGGGTAACCTGGTCAACCTCCCTCCCAAGAGGAGAAAGGAAAACCTTGACAACAGCCCACTGGGCAGATGGGAAAAACAAGGCCTGAAAGGGCTGAGCTACCTCCTTGGGCTGACGAGGCAGTGAGGCAAGAACTCAGTGGGATTGCAAGCAACCTCACACATAGGTGGCCCTAATGGTAAATAATCCTCCTGCCAATCCAAGAGACATAAGAGACATGGGTTCGACCCCTGGGTCGGAAAGATCCCCTGGAGGAGGGCATGGCAATCCACTCCAGGATTTTCGTCTGGAGAATCCCATGGACGGAGGAGCCTAGCGGGGCTACAGTCCATAGGATCGCAAAGAGTCAGAAACTACTGAAGCGACTCAGCATGCACACCCATTCAGCCACCCACTGCAGAATCACCCAGAAACTTCAAAGCCTCCCCGATGGGTGGGCCCCCGTGCCCCTTGGAGCCCTGGCACCTGGACTCCTCCCCCTTTCCTTATTGGGGCTTTCCCTGAGGAACTCCCACCCAGACCCAAGTGGCTGGGTTCAAATCCTGCTGGACTCTGGGCCAGTGAGTGAACGCCCATGTGTGAGTACACAGAAGCATGCATATGTATGTGAAAGTCAGTATGGGCATCAGTGTGCTTCTGTGCAAGTGTGTGTGTGTGCATGTGTGTGTCTGCTCGTGTGGCAGAGAGGGGACACCCTACAGATTTCTGCCTGCGACCCCAGCCACGGTGGGTTTCCTGCATTCATTACCCAACTCGGGTGAGGCGAGCCACAGGCCTCAAAACGAAAGAACCCCTGGTTCTTCTGAGCATCTGAAGTTTCTCAATTCTCAGCTTCTGATTTCAAGAGTCTCAAACTCCTGAGTTTCAGATGCCATGACAAGAAGAGGCCAGGAAGATGGGTAACCCCCCACCCCCTACCCCCTTGGGAGGAGAGCCCCGTGGCTCACCACCCAGAGAGCAGGGCGCTGATACACCAGCAGGGGGCGCTAGGGATCCCTGTTCACAAGAGTGGGCCCAGCCACATATTCAGACAGAGCCCTGGGCGGCCTCCTCCCGCAGGGCTCCCAGGCTAGACTGGAGGGCTGGAGGTCCCCTCCACTGGGCCGCTCTGAGCCTGGTGACGTGAAGAGACTCCACTCCACCAAGCCCACTCTCTCCAACCAGAGCAGGCCTGGACCCTGCTGCGCCTCCACCTCACTGTGCTGCCTCAGGCAATGCACCTCAGACAATGCACCTCACCTCTCGGCACCGTGCTCTCCTCAGTAAACATGTTCCTCTCACTCTCCTCTCAGAATCACTGTGAAAAGTGGGACCCCGTGTCTGCAGTGACTGAGAAAGTATTTACAATGAGCAGACCCAGAGAGGAAGCCCGTGTGCCACTCAGGAAGCTCAGCACTTTGCTAACTCATTTCTTCTTCACAACGACCCTACCCGGGAGGTACCATTATAAGCTCCCACAGAACATCAGATGAGAAAACAGACTCAAAAATGGTCTCCTGGGGTCACAGAGGTGGCGGCTGGTGGCAGGGCCCCTCACACTACCCTACTCTGGGTCAGCGGGAGGCACGAGCTCAGGAAACGGCAGGTCCGCTGCTGGGGGTTTCTCACGGGCTCCTTGGAAAGCGTGTCCTCACCTCACATTCCCTGCCCTCCTCCCAGCCCAGTCTCGGAATCAGAACCAGGCCTTCTACTGCTGCTCCCTGGGGGGCGGGAGGGTTGGTTTCCTCTCTCGGTTTCCAGCCCCCCACCCCCCCCCACACACACACCTCCCAAAAGCATCTTCAGGAGTGGATGGAGGCTGTGGCTGGATGGTGGGGCTTGGGGAAGAGGCTGCTCTGGGCAGGGCTCTGGGGTGGAGGAAGACGGGGCTGGGAGACCTGCCTGGGGGTTGTTCTGAAGCAAAACCCGAAGAGTGGCCTCTGAAGCGAGGCCTGACCTTGTCTCTGGGGAGAAACCAGCCTCGCCCGGGGCCTGAGTCCTCCAGTGGGATGGCGGCATCGCCCCTGCCCATTCCAGGGGGCCAGTATCATGGGATCAAAGGTCCACAGATCCAGACCTTGGTTCACATATACACCCTCCCCGGCCCTCCACATCCGCTGTGACTTCACGCAGGCAGCTTCCTCCCTGGGCTTCTGTTGTCTCTGTCCAAACACTGAGTAAGGGGCGGGCTCAGTTGGGGCACTAAGGCGTCATGGTGACATGGGCCTTATCCGGTCAGCGGGGCAGGAATGCAAGGGCTTCACGGAAGTAGTCTGTTCCCTTTAGAAAGTCTGAGGCTGGGGGAGAGGCAAGGCCTGCCTGAGGACAGGCAGCAAATCAGTGACCGGGGCCAGATGAAACCTGGGCACAGGCCTGACCCTACCTACCCCTGAGCCACTGTCCTGTCCCGCCTGCCCCCTGCCCAGCCACCCTGCAAGGGAGGGAGACTCAAGATGGAGCCTGACTTGGTGAGGTCCCCCCATCCCCTCTCGGCGCCCCCTGCCTCCCTGAGGCCTCACACGGAGGCTGGTCTGGGAGCCACTGGAGAAAAAACTGTCAGGGGTGTTGGTTCCTGGCTGGGTGTCAGGGCACCTGGTTTCAAATTCCATAGGATTTGGGGGGGTAGGGGGGCCTGCCTTCCCAGCAGCGCCGATCACTGGGGTTGGCTCTCACCCTCCATCTCTCACTGCCTCTGTTCCCAGGGCCCTCCAACCCCTCGACAGCTCTGCCTCTTGAGCAAACTATCACAGGCACATCCCTGACCAAAAAAAAAAAAAGAAGGGCTAGCCTGGAGATACTTCCTGAGGCGCCCTTGGCTGATGCCAGAACTCTGGGCCTGTGTAGTGTGAAGGGGAGTGAGGCGTGGGGGCTGGAACTGAATCTGCTGGCAACTGTGCCTCAGTTTCCCTCTCTGATGAGTGGGTTGCAACCTCTGAGGCCAGAGTTCCACCGTCATACCACGCTGCCACCCCCAGCCCGTTTCTGACCATCAGCTGTCACAACTACTCTCCCAGGCCATGTCCATCCCCACCCTTTGACTCCACCAAAGACGCTGCGCCGGAACGATACTCTCACCATCTCCCAACAGTCACTCAGTAAGAGCCTGATGTCCCAGCAAGCCCCAGAGATGCTACTGCCTCCGGTTCCAGGACTCTGGACCCCTCTATCCAGCTCCCCCCGACCCCGGCAGAGGGAAATCTGCTTACTATACTGCTCCCCACTTCACTGCATGAACCTCTCCCAGCTCAGAAGCACCCCATCCCCAGTGCCACCCTGATCAAGCTCCTGCTAAAGGCCACCAGGCAACCAGCTGGGTGATTATATGATAGATCATCTAAAGTCAGACTTGTTCACAGGGCAGATACAGAATATATCCAAATGAACACAGTGTGATCCCTCTTGATATACATATATATGTATAGACAGACAGATGTCCCCCTTCACTTCTCCCCTCCTGAAGTCATTCTTAGAAGAACAAGAGTTGGTCTGCCCAGCCCCCAGCATGCCAGCCACTCCCCATGCCCAAATCAGCCCCCACAGCACCCCGGCTGGATGTGTTAAGAGTAAGGTGTCGTGGGACCAAACAAGGTACCCAGAGAAGCGCCTTCCTGGATTCTCAGGCTGGGTGTTCACGTCCGGACACGGACTCCAGGGAAAGGCTTTGTGGCCAGGAGGGTAGCAAATGCCTGTTTGCCAGACTCTCCAAGGAGGCTGCTCTGTCGTCTCTGCCTCTCTGTCTCTGGAGGAAGCCGGAAGGCTGGTTCTTTAGTTATGTCTCTCTCTGCCTGTTGCTAATTCTATCTTGGTCTCTCCCAGTTTCTCCCAGCGATGGAGCAGACAGAAGGCAATCTCCCATGGCCTCTCATCTTCCCACACTGGCCCTGACCAGGCCACCACAGTCTACAGCAGAAGCAGTGGCAGCCAGCTTAGCTTCTAGACTACAAAGAGTTTGCATCTTCCTCCCATGAGCGGGGAGCATCAGCACCAGGGAAAGGAGAGGAGGAAGGACGCAGGCTCGGTCCGGCCAAGCAAGTACAGGCCAGTAGCTAGAAGATAATGTCCCCAAACACACACCTGGGGTGGTAGGGAGTGCAGGGGGCAAGCAAGTGGGCAAGGGGAGGGCGTGGCAACCAGCTGCTGCCATCAGAGCTGGTTAAAGACCACGGAAGCCTTGAGGTTGGCGGGCTCGAGGCCCTCGCTGAAGGTGATGAGGAAGTACATGACCTTGCGGATCTTGGCCAGGTCGGACAGGCGCTCCCCAAACTCCAGGGCGTCGGCCTCATTCCAGTCCATGGCCTCCGAGTCCTCCTTGCGCCAGAAGATGGCCGCGGGGTCGAGCAGCTGCCGCGTCATGAGGTTGGTGAGGTCGGGCGTCCAGTTCTGGGAGGTGCCCGTGATGGTGACCTTGCCCGGCTGGTCCAGCACGACGTCCCAGCGCTCAAACTGCAGCCTGTGCTGCTGGATGAAGTCAATGCGGTACACGGACTCGGCCGGCCGCAGCAGCTTCTCGCCATCCTGGCGCTTCTGCCCGCGCAGCTTCAGGCTCTCCACGCGCAGCCGCATCTGCTTGGTCAGGTCCCGGTCCAGGACTAAAGGCATGCTGAGCTGCGAAGGCTTCGGCTCGTCCTCCGCCATGGCCCACTTGCTACTGCTGCTGCGGCCGCCTCCACCGTCTGGGAGCCTAGTGGACTGGGGCTCACCGCCGAGGCAAGAGGCCACCAAAGAGGGGCCCCGCCTCCCCTACTGACCCTCCCCTTGCCCCACCCCCTTTGCCACTGGCTCTTCCCTGCCCCACCCAGTCTTCCAAACGGGGTGCCTAGGAGGGCGGGATCCCCAATGCCATCTCCTCTGCTCGTCGCAGAAGTGGTAACGGAGGCGCTGCAAGCAGGCAGGCAGGACAGCGGCAGGCTCCTCGGGGACCAACTGCTGATGTCAATTGCTGTGGCAACCGCCCTGGCTACCACGGATGGGCCGGGAGCTGACTTGTTGTGAAGAGGGAGCATTGCTTACAGGCAGTAAGAGGGCCAGAGGTGGGGGGCCGGTGCTCACGGTGGGGAGAGGCTGAAGAACCCCTGGCAGGAGTCGGGGGGTGCAGAACAAGTACCAGAGGGGCCCACCAATTTGAGATTTGGCAATCCATTCCAGTATCCTTGCCTGGAGAATTCCATGGACAGAAGAGCCTGGTTGCTACCATCCGTGGGATCACAAAGAGCAGACACGATTGAGGGACTAATACTTTCACACTTTTCACTTCACTAAGCCAAACCTCGAAGCCCTCCTCGACACAGCCTTACCTTTACCCCTCCACACCCAATTGCCAAGGCCTTCTCCTCCCCATCCCAGCTAAGGGTCTCTCACCTAGACTCACGTTCTCAAACTTTAGGGAGCATCACAGTCACCTGCAGGACTTAAAACACAGTTTGCTGGGCCCCACCCCAGACTTTCAGATTTAATCTGTTTCTGATGAGGCCTGAGAATCTGTGTTTCATCCCAGGTGCTGCTGCTGCTGCTGCTAGTCCAGGAACTGTGTTCTGAGAATCACTGACCCAGTCTACAGCCATACCACCCTGAATGCACCTGATCTCATCTGATCTTGGGAGCTAAGCAGAGTCAGGCCTGGTTAGTACTTGGATGGGAGAATCACTGACCCAGATGATTCCTGCCTGCTGGCCCTGCCTCAGCCCTGCACTGCATGGCAACCGCACGCCCAGAAATCTCCTCTACTAAAATCCCACCACATATTACACCTGTATCAAGCCTCAGTTTCCCCCAGGAGACTTAAGGCTGTGGAAGAATCTGCGAAATGTTTATATACTCAGTACCTGAGGGGGAACCAGGAGCTCTGCTATTATATGTGGGCAAACGTAAGAAATGGAGTATGTGAGTGTAGTTGGGGGTGGGGTGAGGGAGAAGGGAAACTGCCATGACGTGCCACACACAGAGAGAGGACAGAAGCACAGGCCAAAGGGTAATAACTGAGAACAATCAAGGGTCTAGTGGACCACGTGTGTGTTCAGTCGCTTTAGGTGTGTCTGATTCACTGCGACACCATAGACTGTAGCCCTCCAGGTTCCTCTGTCCATGGGATTCTCCAGGCAAGAATACTGGCCTGGGTTGCCATGCCCTCTTCCAGGGGATTTTCCCAACCCAGCGACCAAGCCTGGGTCTCCTGAATTATAGGCAAATTCTTCACCACTAAGGCACCGGGGAGGCCCCTAGTGGACCACAAGCATTTTGTTGTTTAGTCACTCAGTCACGTCCAATTCTTTGCAACACCATGGACTGCAGCACACCAGGCCTGCTTGTCCCTCACCATCTCCTGGAGCTTGCTCAAACTCATGTCCATTGAGTCAGTGATGCCATCCAACCATCTCATCCTCTGTCAGCCCCTTCTCCTCCCACCTTCAATCTTTCCCAGCATCAGGATCTTTTCAAATGAGTCAGGTCTTCACATCAGGTGGCCGAAGTATTGGAGTTTCAGCTTCAGCATCAGTCCTTCTGAACATTCAGGACTGATTTCCTTTAGGATGGACTGGTTGGATCTCCTTGCAGTCCAAGGGACTCTCAAGAGTCTCCTCCAACACCACAGTTCAAAAGTATCAATTCTTCAGTGCTCAGCCTTTTTTATGGTCCAACTCTCACATGACTACTGGAAAAACCATAGCTTTGACTAGATGGACCTTTGTTGGCAAAGTAATGTCTCTGCTTTTTAATATGCTGTCTAGGTTGGTCATAGCTTTTCTTCCAAGGAGCAAGCCTCTTTTAATTTCATGGCTGCAGTCACCATTTGCAGTGATTTTGGAGCCCAAGAAAATAAAATCTCTCACTATTTCCATTGTTTCCCCATCTATTTGCCATGAAGTGATGAGACTAGATGCTATGATCTTCATTTTTTGAATGTTGAGTTTTTAAACCAGCTTTTTTCACTCCTCTTTCACTTTCATCAAGAGGCTCTTTAGTTCTTCTTCACTTTCTGCCATACAGGTAGTGTCATCTGCATATCTGAGGTTGTTGATATTTCTCTCAGCAATCTTGATTCCAGCTTGTGCTTCATCCAGCCTGGCATTTCTCATGATGTACTCTGCATAGAAGTTAAATAAGCAGGGTGAAAATATACAAGTTTGTTGTATTTCTGTCCCAATTTTGAACCAGTTCATTGTTCCATGTCCGGTTCTAACTGTTGCTTCTTGACCTACATACAGATTTCTCAGGAGGCAGGTAATGTGGTCTGGTATTCCATCTCTTGAAGAATTTTCCAGTTTGTTGTGATCCACACAGTCAAAAGCTTTAGTGTAGTCAATGAAGCATAAATAGATGTTTTTCTGGAATCCTCTTGCTTTTTTATGATTCAGTGGATGTTAGCAATTTGATCTCTGATTCCTCTCCCTTTTCTAAATTCAGCTTGAACATCTGGAAGTTCTCAGTCCACATACTGTTGAAGCCTAGCTTGCAGAATTTTGAGCATTACTTTGCTAGCATGTGAAATGAATGTAACTGTGTGGTAGCTTGAACATTCTTTGGCATTGCCCTTCCTTGGGACTGGAGTGAAAATTAACTTCTCCCAGTCCTGTGACACCTACTGAGTTTTCCAAATTTGCTGGCAAATTTTACCTGTCCCTGGTACCCACAATGGTACAGGCAGAGTTGGTGCTCAATTTCCACGTGGTGAATGAACTGCCATATGATAAAGGGCAGGGACTGCTCAGATAACAGTGCAGGTGTGGGAGCGGAAACATTTTTAAATGGAACCAAAAGGCTGCTCGGGCTTCCCAGGTGGCACTAGTGGTAAAGAACCTGCCTGCCAATGCAGGAACTATAAGAGACGCAGGTTCCATCTCTGGGTCGGGAAGATCCCCTGGAAGAGGGCATGGCAACCCACTCCAGTATGCGTGCCTGGAGAATCTCACGGACAGAGGAGCCTGGTGGGCTACAGTCCATGGGGTTGCACAGAGTCGGACACGATTGAAGTGACTTAGCACAGGACAAAAGACTGCTCAACCCTGCCACCAGGTGCCTCCCGCAGGCCCTGGGCCAGGATGCCCAGCTCCCACCACTCACTCTCAGACACCCAGGCACCCCACTGAGTTTCTCCTCCTGCTCTACTTTGGCCAGGGAGGCAGCTAACTCCTCCTGGGCCCAGGCACCCTACGGCTTAGCACAGGGATCAAAGCTGCCCCTGCGCCCAAGCCAGGCTCCCGGGGAGGTGAACTCACCTGGCGTGGGCCAGGCCAGGCTAATGGCAAATGCCCCACTCTCCTCTCACATCCTGACTTCTGGTCCACAAAACCTGGTCGCCTGAGGTCCACTGCCCTGCCCTCAGGGAACACACAGTCATGTTGTGGAGGCAATAATGCCCCCCACTAAGGATCCCATGGGGTGGGGGATGCTGCTGTCAAGATGCATCCAGCAGAACAGAGAAACAGATGGGAGCCCAGAGGAGGGGCGCCCGATGGGGTGGGCATTTAATGCACACAGGTTGCCTCTACATGCCATGGGCTTACCCCCATTCCCAACCCATGAGTTCCTGTAACCCCACCACCACCCTGGGGACTGGAAAGATCAGGTTTACACAGAGGTTACACGCAGGAACGTGACCCGCCCCAGGTCACACAACTAGCAAGAAACCCAACCAAAATCAAACCCGGGTTTGGCTGGTTCAAATCCTGTGCCTGTTGGCCCCAGGCTCTGTCCAATACGAGAGGGAAAGGGGTGGCTTCCTGGAGGAGGGGGCATGTGTGTCAAGGGCATGATGTGCCTGCGTCTGAGGCTCAGCACCCCCAGAGTGTGAGGCGGGAGAGGTAGCAGGGGTGCACCCCACCCCATTCCATGAAAACAGGGCGGGGCAGGGGAGGCCCTGCAGGGCAACCGGCCCAGCAAGTGAGGGGTGACAACAAACAGGGCCCAGTCAGCAGGGACAGGGCGGGAGGCAAGAACCAGTAATGAGCTCCCCAGGGCCTCATGCCTCCTGCCAGGACCCAGGGGCTGTCACCACAGCAGCACCAGAAGGCAGAGCGCAATTAGTCTGGTGCGGCCCGCCCTGCCCCAACCTCCCAGGGACCCAAGCTGATGGAGATTCCACCCCCGAAGCCTCCAGACCAGCCAGGTGGATGCCCTGAAACACCCTGCAGGAAGAACCTGCAGCCCAGAGATAAACACAGGCCTGCCCGCGGTCACACAGCATCAATGACAAGACTCTTGTCTGCAGGTCTAGGGCCCCTTTTTCCGTTTACTAGGTGGGGAGTTTCACCAGGGGCCAGGCCCAGAGCAGGGCCCATAGTGAGCTGGAGCTTCTGTCTACAAATAACCAGACAGCCCATTCCCTGGGAAGGACACAGAGGACCAGGCTCTGGCCCCACTGCAGGCCCCCAGGAAGCCTGAGATAGCAAGACCCGCTGCAGGGCTGCTTGTCCGTCATGAGGTCATGAGGTCCAGCAGTCTCGGGAAGGGCTGGGTTCTCAAAACTTTCTTGAGCCCGCTCTGTGCCAGGCTCCTGCTGGGCTCAGAGAGAAGATATGTTAGACCAGCTCTGCCCCTGGGGAGCTCACCTCAAGAGGGGAGATCAAAGATAAACAGGCAATTACAGGGCAAGGGGAAGGTGTGGGGCCAGCCCCAAGGGTTCCCAAGTGCCACTGCCA